AAGTACTTGAGGAAACTGAGTGGCCACGTCTGGCTGGCACCAGGGGAGCTTGAGAACATAAGAATCATAGAATTGTAAAGTTGGAAGAGACCCTGAGGGTCATCTAGTCCAACCCCCTGCAATGCAGGAATATATGGCTGACCAGTTTGGGGATTAAACCTGCCACCGTAGCAATTTATTTGTTAAGAGGATGAGGAAAAGGGAACAGTTCTTCATAAGGATCAGCATAAATGTGGCTGAAATTGCGTCCTTGAAAGCACCATCCTGGATTTGGAAAACTGATACCAGGAGCCATGGGTGCAAACAGCGTATATTGTGGGCCATGATTTATTTGGGGGGTAAGGGCAGAGCTGAGTTATCTGTGGTGCAATTGGTCAGTTAGTTAAGTTTTTTTATTGATTTACTTGATTTTGAGGGGGCAGCTCCCCCCCCAACCTCCCTGGCTATGCCCATGCCAGACGCCTGACACATTCTCTTTGATGTGGTGATGCTTTCAAGAAAGCAATCCCCAATATTCATTTTCTTTGGTTTTATGAACTTTCAATCTATATAATGTGTTAAAGAAAGCAATAGTGTTTAGCTATCATTATAATAACTTCTGTTGATAAATTTGATTCATACTTACCTGTTCTGGCTTGCCTAAGGAGAAAATTTAAAGGTCTATCAGCTTTGAAGACAGGATCCTGGGATCGTTTTAGCAACACCATAGCTGTGTGGTAAAAAAACAAGCAGGGAGTGCCCACTTTTATTTTTCTCCCTTTCATTCAATTCCAGAAGTCTCAGAAGAAGCCAAAATTACCATGCTACCATTGAAAAAAATGTCTGCCCTGATCAGTCGTGGTCGGTGCACATATTTGCAGCCCTTACCGTCTAACACAGGGAATATTCATAAGTTCGATTCCCTACTGGCTGGGCCCTTGCACCTATGCAGATGCACTGGCTCTCGCTGGTCTGGAAAGCTCTACCTTAGAACATTGGGTCATGATATTGAAGTGGTGTGTTTAACATTTAATGTTTTCTTATGTTTTTGTATATGTTGGAAACTGCCCAGAGTGGCTGAGACAACCCAGTAATAATAATAATAATAATAATAATAATAATAATAATAATAATAATAATAATGGAATAAGACATTTCTATCTGCATGGGAGAAATGTTGGCGGGTATGGGACAGGCATAGGAGATAGCTAGTGCTCAGAAGGTGCAGGAACAACTTCAGCTGGAATCCAAAGGAATAGGCACATTTGCATATTTATAAAAAGTGGAACATGGAAGAAAACCATATGAGAAAACTTAAGTCGCATCCCTTAAGAGGAGCAGGGCTTGTGGCTGCTGGTTTTCTGAGGGCCCAGGGGTGCTGCATCGCAAGGTTCATTGTGACACCTCCCTCTGCTGGCTCATTGGTCATGTGATAGGAATTTTATGGTCTTAGATATATGGTAATGTTCATAACTGCACATACATAGATCAACACAGGAAGACCAACCTGGAACCATTTTGATTCCTAAACTGACCAAATCCTTTCTCTGCAAGGTTAAACTGGAAAAGCCTCCCCATTGTCTCTTTCCTCACAAATCCTGTCTCAAGGATATGTCTGTTTGAATAAGGTGTGAGCCTGTGACCTGGCCCAGGAAATAAGTATTTTACCACTACAAAAGAATGGCCAGGCTCCCCAGGCAATCCAATCAAGTAACTTGCCAGACAGGAGATAAACTGTGACAGGAGAAAAACAACATTTAAATTTCTGTGATGTAGGTGGGATGTATCTGAGGGGTGGTCTTAGGTTACACCTCTTCTGTGATGTATGCATAATGTTTCTGGGGGTGGTCTTGATCTAGAGAATGGGAATTTCAAAAGTCTTTATAAGCCCTTGCACGGCATTTTGGGGGGTCCTCTTCCTCTCCTGCGTGTGAGGGAGTACCCTGTTGCAACAGATCAATAAAGATCAGGCTTACTAGCTGCTTTGCTTCTCAATATTCTCTGGTTGCCCTCTGTTATTCTCTCCTACCAATAGGGAACCTATGTAAGGACTCTATATGGGCTCTTGGATACCCCATAAGGGAAAAGGGCATATTTTCATTTACAACAGTCACCGGAACTCTAGAACAGTGTTTCCCAACCTTTTTTGGGCAAAGGCACACTTGTTTCATGAAAAAAATCTCGAGGCACACCACCATTAGAAAATGTTAAAAAATTTAACTCTGTGCCTATATTGACTATATAAAAAGTACAGTGGTGCCTCGCAAGACGAAATTAATTTGTTCCGCAAGTCTCTTCGTCTTGCGAGTTTTTCGTCTTGCGATGCACGGTTTCCCATAGGAATGCATTGAAAATCAATTAATGCGTTCCTAGGGAAACCACCTTCAGACCAGGTCCGGGGACAGTCTGTCCCCCGACCTCTTCTGAAGGCGGGGGGGGGGGACAAGGGCTTTTCTTCCCACTGCCAGCCTTCAGAAGGCTGTTCTGAAGGCTGGCGGTGGGAAGAAAAGCCCTTCTTCCCACCTCCCGCCCCGCAAGCTCCGGGGACAGGAGGGCTTTGCTGCCGACCGCCAGCATTTTAAAAGCCCCTGCTGTCCCGGGGCGATTTTAAAATGCTGGCGGGCGGGAGCGAAGTCTCCGCTGCCCCGAGGAGATTTTAAAATGCTGGGGGTCGGCAGCGAACGCTTCGCTCCCGCCCGCCAGCATTTTAAGATCGCCCGGGGCAGCGGAGAAGTCTCCGCTGTCCCGGGAAGGCAGGCGGGGGGAGCAAAGACTTTTGCCCCCGCCTGCCTTCAGAAGAGGTCCAGGACCTCGTTCCGATGCCCGGCGGCGGGGTGCGAGGGTCCCGCCCCACCGCCCGGCATCGGGGCATCGTTCTGAAGCGGGGCGGCTGGGGCAGGTGTTCCCGCCCCCCCGCCCCGCTTCGGAGCACCGGGAGAAGCGATCTCCCCGCAGCCCCTTGCTTCAAAAGAGGTCCGGGGGCAGCGGGGAAGAAGCGCTGCGCTTCCCGCTGCCCCCGGACCTCTTTTGAAGCAAGGGGCTGCGGGGAGATCGCTTCTCCCCGCAAACCCTTGCTTCAAAAGAGGTCCGGGGGCAGCGCGAAGCGCTTCCCACTGTCCCCGGACCTCTTTTGAAGCAAGGGGCGGTGGGGAGAAGCGATCTCGGGCACCGCGGCACGCAGGCGCACTGCTCGCTCCTCTTTCCGCGCAGGCGCCTTCTCTCGCTCTTTCGCCTCCTTTTCTTTCTCTCTCGATGGTCCGCCTACAAAGGAGCGAGGGAGGCGCCCGCCATGTTTGGATTTGCATCCAGCAGGAGATGCCGCCGCCGCCCCGCCTCTCCCGCCTCCCTCCCACGGCACACCAGGCAAGGTCTCACGGCACACTAGTGTGCCGCGGAACACCGGTTGGGAAACACTGCTCTAGAAGGCCTGGGATCTCCTATGCTTGGATCATTCCGTGCTTGTGAGAGAAGCAGGAAAGCATGTAAGTAGGATTTCTTTCAGCATATCCTCTTAATTGAGGGTCCGCGTTGCGCACAGGTCATAGGTGCAGCCCCCCCTTCCTTGAGAGGGGTGGGGGAGGAGCTGAGCCGAGCTATGGTCCCACGATCACACCATGGCCTGCTGGCCAAGTGGGAGTGGTGGTGTGATCGAGGGGGGCCTTTAAAAGGCAGCTGTGTGGCATTGGGGGGGGTGTTACCTGGGTTTGCACTGCCAAACACCCGCCCTAGATTTAGGTGTGTGCTTTGGCCTTGCTCTGGACTTCGGTTGGTCGCCGGTTTTGGAACGGGGGCCGCGTAGGAATATTTCCATTTGGCAAATTGGCACTGGCCTCTTGGTTTTCGCCTACCTCTTAGCAATCGTCACAACTTTGTAAGGTTTGGCAGTTAGGCATTGGCTTAGTGAAATGTGGGGGAGGGGAGGTGCGACCATCACCTGCCCCTCCAGGTACAAGGGTATTCCAGTAAAGGAATCTGCAGGTCCGGATCTCGTCCAAAGTCTGCTTGGGAGGCTAGGGCCATGCCAGGACCCAACGGGAACCCCGGGGTGAGTTTCAGTTGGTCACCATTGATGGAGCTCCCTCTGTTGGTGGTTTACTTTTCCAGACTTCCTGCAAGGCGGGCAGGAGTCAGATATAGTTATTAAGGTAAAGGTAACCATTAGGTCCAGTCGTGACCGACTCTGGGATTGCGGCGCTCATCTCACTTTATTGGCCGAGGGAGCCGGCGTACAGCTTCCGGGTCATGTGGCCAGCATGACTAAGCCGCTTCTGGCGAACCACAGCAGTGCACGGAAACGCCATTTACCTTCCGCTGGAGCGGTACCTATTTATCTACTAGCACTTTGTGCTTTCGAACTGCTAGGTTGGCAGGAGCTAGGACCGAGCAATGGGAGTTCACCCCACTGTGGGGATTCGAACTGCCGACCTTCTGATTGGCAAGTCCTAGGCTCTGTGGTTTAACCCACAGCGCCACCTGCGCCCCTGATATAGTTATTGCCAATGCCTAATTTCAGGGGCCTAATCCGGTTTAATCTGGCCCCTGTGTCAGTTTATTTCCTGGCGTAAAATCCTTTAAAAAAACGTCAACAACTTAAACCCTAAAAAAAGCTCAACAACGTCTTTGGTTGGCCCTTCATTTCATCAAATCTGGACCTCTTTGAAAAAAGTTTGGACACCACTGGCCTAAGCCAATACCACTCACATTGCTGTAATCAATAAAGTTGTGGCCTAAATTCTGCCCATTAACCTTTAAACTAAAATTCTGTCTCAATATGTTCTTATTATTCTTGGGGGTGCGCCAGGGCCTTGATGCGCAACTGAATTCTGTGATGATAGTGAGCTTAGAGGCGTGAATGCAAAAACCAGTTTAGGAACGTAGATCAGGAGAGGGTGAACTGTGAGCCCCATTTCTCACATTTTTCTCTTTCCTTTTTAGGCTTGGAAGACTGCGAAGAGCGATTTCGCAGATGGCGAAAAAAAATAAAGTGTGCCCTCTCCCCGAGTCCTCCCCCCTGCCCCCCCGCTCCCCCTGTGGACCCCTGTTTGAAAAGACTAGGAAGGTAAAACGTTTTTACCTTATAGTAGTTGATTCCAGTCCCTAAGATTTCTTAGGAAAGGTCTTTGTCTGAGGCCTATTTTGAGCTTTAGATCATCATATCCCATGTGGCTCTTGGTTTCCCTGTAGGCTCCGCACACTTCCTCGCCTCCACAGGTGAAAGAGAGACAAAGTCAACATGAAGGTAATGTCTATTTCTATGTATGTGTTCAGAAAGTCTCTCTCTCTCTCTCTCTCTGTGTGTGTGTGTAAGAAAGCCTCTCTAACTGCCAGCCTTCTCTTCTTTTCCTTTCAGAAGAGCTCATCATCGAAGATATTGAAGACCTGGAGGAAGAACAGTAAGAGACTGTGCTGCATTGGAGCAGCTTTATCAATCGTTAACAGTTCTTGGCTGTTGTAAAGTTTTGCTTTTGTGTCTTTCCTTGAAGGTGGAAGCTTGCGGAGATGAAGATGTAGCTCAGCGTTGTCTCACTGCCCTCTCAGCAGCCGCCGCCCCAGGCCAAGGCAATTTGCTGGGCCTAGCAGTGGAAGCAGCACGTGCAAGGTATTGGCGGAAATACTGTGCATTTAACCAAAGGGTGGTTCAGAGCATCTCTCCAGGGCTCTGCACTAACTCCCTGTGGTCTTGCTCTGGCAGCGCATAAGTAATGGGTTGGTCCATGTGGGTGACTAGAGATGTTTTGGATGGTGGAAAGGCCCAGATTTAAAAGGCATTCAGCTGTGAACCTCACTATGGGAAGTCAGTCTCTCAGCCTGATTTCCTTCACTGAGGGGCAAAGGGGTGGGCATTATGAGGCTAAATCATCACTGAGTTCTTTGCAGGAAAACCGGGAGAAAAAGACAACAATTTTTTAAATAAAACCTGAATAAATATCTAAGGGAGGAGCCAGAAGCAGCCACAACACATATTTTGCTCCTTTATATTCTCAGATGGGGCGCTGCTGAGAGTGCTGCATGAGCCAGAGTTGTGCTTAGTTTGTACTAGAAATTGGCTTTTAGTAGTGTAGCTCCAGCCCTCTGGAATCCATTCCCAGCTGGAATTAGACAAGTGCCTGGCATCATAATGTTTAGGTGTCTTCTTGAAGATGTTTTATTTAGGAAAGCTCTCCCTAATGTGTGACCCAGTACTGTAATTCATCTGTAGGAATGGTTTCATTTATTTTTTGAATATATTATTTTTGTATTTTATATTTTTGTACACAGCTTTCAGGGCCTCGGGCTTTTAAGCAATTTATAAATTTGTAAAATCAATTATGTGCACCTATGGTTTCAATTTCCTGTTCGCACCAAAGTTAACAACCAGAATATGTTGTACTGGGATGATTTTACAGATTCCCGAGTTGGAGGATGCTGTTGGTAGGTGGCTATGTTCCTCTCTGTACTCTACTTTCTGGGCACCCATATTGTCTAACCTCAATGCCAGTAGCAGCCTTCAGCGGCCTAGTGTTTTGTTGTCGCTCTTCTCTATGAAAAAAGAACTGTGGGTCTGCATGCAGTGTTAGGTTTTATGCATTCTTCTTTCCCATATTGTTTGACACTTCCTTTGCTTTCTCTTCCTAGACACCCTGTGAAGTGGCCCAGCAGGCCGTAGATGCGGATGTGCATTGTGTGGCTTGGCTGCTGGCCACAAAACGCTTGTTCCTGAACTCCTCAAAGAGCTGCATGCCCTTGGCCACCCAGACATTCTCGTCATGTGTGGAGGCGCCATCCCTCCCCAGGTACTGTGCACCACCTATTGCTAATCCAAAGATGGCTTGCTGTGAGATGATTAAATTGTTCCCAGTGAGGTGGGGTCTCCATCTACTTTCTCCTCCTCCTCCAGGCAAATGAACACCACTGAAAGGCTTTTAAAGTAACATCTAGCTATTGAAATGTGGAAATCCTTCAGCAAATTTTGGAAAGCATTGTAGTTTATAGGTTTAGGGTTCACAGAACAACGCAGTTGAAAAGCAGCCTCCCAAATTGTTTCTAAAACTGCCAATATAATCAAATAATTTAAAAATCACTTTTTAAATTTAAAAATATTCATAAACATTTTAAGAAATGAAGAAAAAAGGGACCAGTTTCCTTTACTGACATAGAAAATATATAAGACTTCTTTTTTCCCAGAATTTGCTTTTCTGTTTTGAATCTCTTGACTTTGGTATTATTGTTGCACCTGGCAAAAGATTCGTATAGAGCCACAAGTCTCTGGTTGTCTTGAAGCAGAGGTGAAAATGTTCACCACTTTTGATGATTTCATTCTTTATGTTAGATAGGATAACACCTAGAGCAGAGATTGCTTGACCCTGTAGTCACTAGGACTTTGCACACATGGCGGGGTTTGCGTAGGTGAGAGCATCACTGTTTCCCCCCCATAGCTAGCATACTAAGTTATTTTCCCTTCTCCATGTGCGCTACCTCCTGACCTGCCATCGCAAAACTCTGCTCTTTTAGCATGTGTTCTGCAGAATTTTACTTTACAAAGTTTACATGCATGTTTTATGTGTTTCTCCTGCACAGGATTATGACTTCCTGTATGACTCAATAGCCTCTGTAGAGTCTGAAGTTGGTGGCCTTATGGGAGATATGGGCAGTTTCCAGTTCTGTGACCTCACGAATCCTTTACTGAGGTGACATGCACAAGACGGGTAGAGCAACTCTTTTATGAAAAGTCCATTTTTTGTAAGGTTCTTGCTCAACAGCCTTAATAGAAGTATTGAAGGGGGAGGTGTTAAAATAAATAATAATAATAATAATAATAATAATAATAATAATAATAATAATAATAATATCTTTATTGTCATTGCCCCCTCTCAGGGACAACGAAATTACTTGGCTGCTCCATCCACCCAGGTAGGGCACTCCACACAAAATCAAAACACTATAAAAACACTATAAAACACTATAAAAACACTATAAAAACACTAATTAAAACAATACAATATAATACAGCAAGGAAGATTAGATGACTTTCAAAGTCCAGGCTTCCCATTCAGGGCCGAGATCGCTCTGGAGAAGAAGCTGTTCTTAAGACGGCTTGTTCTTGTCTTCATCGTCCTGTATCTCCGTCCCGACGGCAGGAGCTCGAAGAGACAGTGACCAGGATGCGATGGATCTTTTACTATGTCCAGTGCCTTCCTATGGCACCTTGTGGCATAAATCTGCTCTAAGGTGGAGAGTGGGCAGCCAACAATGCTCTCTGCTGCCTTAACAACTCTGCACAACCCCATCCTGTCCTGGGTAGTACAGCTTCCGTACCACACACATAAGCCATAAGTGAGCACGCTCTCAATGGCACAGTGAGGCCATTAAGCAAAGGTCTTTTCTTATTCTTCAAGACGCCTGTGCCTCTTGAGACTCCATCATTGACACCTGAGCTCAGCATCACATACAGTCCAACAAAAGCACAAAAACAAATACCAAGTTCACTAACATTACAATCTCTTTTAACTGCATAAATACCTCCTCTGCCAGCTATTAATATAGCAAATTCTAATTTAGCCCATGTGCTCAAAATTCCTTGAGATTCCTCATTTCTTGCTGGCAGGTCTTTTTTTTAAGAACAGAGACCTCGGAATTATCCTGCAAGCAGTTTATTATAAACTTCCTAGGAATTACTGCCCTTGCAGTGTATCCCTGGGAGATTTCATGATCTGGACTTCGGAGCTAGGTTTTCAAATAAGACTTCTGCAGCTGCAGCTGATGGATTTGGAACTTCTCCACTGTCTGTCTTTCTGAATGAAGAAAGGTGTGCATTATCCCTTCCTGACCAAATCACTGACACATGGCTATTGGTGGCATGTTTGGTGCTAAAGTCAACTTTCTGACTACAGCAGCACTGGAGGCGCTTAATTTCACGCCGGAAAGTTTTGCTGAAATTATAGTACAGTGGTACCTCGGGTTACATATGCTTCAGGTTACAGACTCCACTAACCCAGAAATAGTACCTCGGGTTAAGAACTTTGCTTCAGGATGAGAACAGAAATCGTGCTCTGGCAGCAGCGGAAGGCCCCATTAGCTAAAGTGGTGTTTCAGGTTAAGAACAGTTTCAGATTAAGAACGGACCTCAGAAACGAATTAAGTAACCAGAGGTACCACTGTAAATGAAAAGGGTTGTAGGCCGGAGCCTGATTTCTGTTCTTATCCTGAAGCACTATTTCTGGCTTAGTGGAGTGTGTAACCTGAAGCGTCTGTAACCTGAAGTGTCTGTAACCCGAGGTACCACTGTACAGTGTTCATGCAGCCTATTCACATGGTTCCCTTTTCACACACCTCCCTTACCGTCCTAAAAAATTAAAATTATCCCCACCTAGACTGTCTCTTTTCTCCTTCTGTCCTCAAAAATCATATTAAAACCCTTGGGCAGCAGGGAGGGAAACATAGAAAATCATTTTTTAAAAAAGAAAAGTTGCCCCCTTTCTATTCGAACAACCAGAGCGGAAGCAGGATCCTGCACTGAACTTCCCTCGGTATGTCATCATAGTCAAAAGTGCAGGTAGAGCAGGGCAGAAAGCGTCTGTCAACCTGCCCTGATTAAGTGACATTTCCCCGCCATGTTTCCTCCCACTTCTTAACCCTGCATGTGGAAGTTTCTGATCAAAACCGGAATTGTGCACTTGTACAGAGCTCTCTTTCTCTTATATATCTCTATGGTAGAAGGAAGAGACCTGCCCTTCCCTCTTTCTTCTCCCAAGCGCTGCTGAAGGTGTGGTGCCCTCAGAGGCACAATTCATTTTCAGGGCTCCTATAAGAAGATGCAGAAGGTGGCTCTGACACTTTTGACCCACCAAACTTCTGCCGTGGAAAAAGCACATCAGCTTTTTGAGTTATGAAAGGCTATTGAGAATTGAGCTCTTAGACTTAACACACCTGCTTAAATTTGTGAAAGTCAAAGGTGTCTAAATAAATGGTTGAAGCTTAGCTCCCCTCTAGCATCTGAAGTTGGCTGAAAGGACACCCTGTTGTGTTGTTTATTAAGAGATGGATACGAAATACTAAAGAGTATTATATTCCCAAGTGATGCAGCCTTGGCCGCTCTGAGCGAGGTTCACCTTTCCAGACCCTTTATTTCCCTGGCAGATACTTGGGGTAGAAACTCCCTTACGCAAACTAGAATTAGATGGCTGTAGCTGTAAGGGACGCGGGTGGCGCTGTGGGTTAAACCACAGAGCCAAGGACTTGCTGATCAGAAGGTCGGCGGTTCGAATCCCCACAACAGGGTGAGTTCCCGTTGCTCAGTCCCTGCTCCTGCCAACCTAGCAGTTCGAAAGCATGTCAAAGTGCAAGTAGATAAATAGGTACCGCTCCAGCGGGAAGGTAAACACATTTCTGTGCGCTGCTCTGGTTCGCCAGAAGCGGCTTAGTCATGCTGGCTCCCTCAGCCAATAAAGCAAGATGAGCACCGCAACCCCAGAGTCGGCCACGACTGGACCTAATTGGTCAGGGGTCCCTTTACCTTTACCTGTAAGCAACAGGCATCTTTGAGCAGGGACAGCATATGCTGCCTGACAATCCCAGCAGATAGGAGAGGCTTGTTGCTGCCCATCAGCTGTCATCCTCTTATGACAGGCTGCAATTCCTCAAGTAACTGAGGAAACTGAGTGGCCACACCTGGCTGGCACCAGGGGAGCTTGAGAA